AGGAAGGGCATGAGTACACCACAGCGGTACTCAGTAATGCCAAGCCTAACCTTGGTTGGGTAGTGACGAGGAAGGTCAGGGCCCTACTGAGGCTAAAATATAATAATAAATTAACAATATGAAAAATAAGCAGTATTAGTGAGTACAACATTGAGATAAGACAGGTTAAACAAGGCAATAGCAAATACACAAAGAACGGAACAACCACAGCATAAGTACAGCTCAATACCAATGGTAACAATGAGGATCTCCCAGGATACCGTCCTGTAGTCCTTTTCTCAACTGTCCAGTGGATCTCTCGGGATACCGTCCCGTAGTCCATCATATGTGTATATCCGAAGGATCTCCCGGGATACCGTCCCGTAGTCCAACTATCAATGTACAGGAGGATCTATCGGGAATCTAACCCGCAGTTCCAAAGTAAAAGTGCAGGGGGATCTACCGGTAATCGAACCCGTAGTCCCAAAGTAAACAAACAAGGGGGGGGGGGGAGGAGCTACCGGAATCCCACATCCGTAGTCCCAATGTAAATACGCAATCACAACCAGAAGATACACAGAAATGAAGTACAAGACAAGCAACAGGTAGTACTGGCCTAACATGCTTCACGTAGTACAGTCAAGGCCACTTAAGCAAGTAGGCAAGTTAATCAACTAAACATGCTTTCCTAGTCTAGCACAGGTTATAGTTGCAAGTAGAATAAAGCAAATATGAAAGAAACTCAATCGCAATATCTTAAGTAAAACCGGATTTTCAACAATTGGCTCAAGTACGCGCTCGTCACCTCGCGTGCAAGGCACTCAAAATACCAAATAACAATATCCTAAGGGGAAAGGTCCCCCACACAATGTTAGACAAGCCACTTACTTCGAACCGGCTCAAAATCAACTAGAAATCACGCCCTTGCCACGAGTATCCGACTCCAAATGGCCCAAATCTATTCAATTCAATTACGTATCGTAAATAACATTGCAAACAACTGGTTTTGCTATTTAATTCAAAGCTACGGCGTGAAATTAGGTAAAATGACCAAAATGCCCTTCAGGCCAACGCCTCGGAATCGAATAATTTTCATATTTTCAGAACCCTCGTACTCTCACGAGTCTAACCATATAAAAATCTCCCAAATCGGAGGTCAAATGCTTACTCAAAACTCAATGGTTTAGCCTATAAAGTTTTACCCAATTTCTTCCAATTTTTGATCCCAAATTCGAATTTTAATGACGGATTTAACTACAAAATGATGAAATATAACTAGAAAGGATCAAAGAAACGTTACCCAATAATCTTCTCTTCAAAACCCTCTGAAAATCGCCCTTCCCCGAGCTCAAATTGATTTTTCTAACTTATGAAATCTAACCCTCGAAATTTCTATATCTGCTCAAGGATTTCTGCTTCTGCGGACAAGGGACCGCTTCTGCGGAACAAGAGCCGCTTCTGCGGTTTTCATTAAAAAGGCAGGAACCGCATCTGCGATAAAAGGGTCGCAGATGCGACACCGCATCTGTGGGGGAATATCCGCTTCTGCGGAAACTAAGGAGATACAGGAGCCCGCATCTGCGATGCCTGAGCCGCTTCTGCGATAATAGTACTGCTTCTGCGGTTTCTGAGGGAAAGGGGCAAAGCCGCTTCTGCGTCCCCTTAGCCGCTTCTGCGGCGCCGCATCTGCGGTTCCCAAGCCGCAGATGCGAAAATACCAGAAGAGGAACACTTCAGCTGCTGCAACACTTCAAAATTTCTCCGTTAACTACCCGAAATCATCCCGAGGCCCCCGGGACCTCAACCAAAAGCACCAATAACACCTAATACCTCATTCAAACTTGTACCAATCCTTAAACCACCTAAAACAACGCCGAAAACTCGAATTAAACAAGGATTTGAGCCTAAGACCTTTAATTTTTATCAAAATACGCTTTCGATCAAAAACCTAACCAAAACACGCCCAAATGACCCGAAATTTTGCACACTCATCCCAAATGACATAACGGAGCTACTGCAACTTCCGAAATTCCAATCCGACCCTCAGATCAAAAATTCACTATCGGACCGGTAACTTCAAAAATTCAACCTTCGGCATTTCAAGCCTAAATGAGCTACGGACTTCCAAAATACATTCCGAACACGCTCCCAACCCCAAAATCACCTAACGGAGCTCACGAAACCATCGGATTTCCATTCCGAGGTCATTTTCACACTGTTCCGATTACAGACCACTTTTTCCACACTTAAGCTCTCATTTAGGGACTAAGTGTCCCAAAACTCTCCGAAACTCAACGCCGAACGTCCCGGCAAACCAAAATAGCAGAAGTGAACTTAGGAGAAGCAGTTAATAGGGGATCGGGGCGTACATTCTTAAGACGACCGGCCGGGTCGTCACAGTCTAAAATTTTAACTTGCGTTAGAGGACATTTTCAAATTAAGTATATCATCTCCAAATATAAGCCTTAATTTTTACATCAGCGTGTAGTCCATAAAAAGTTAAGCACCATGATCTAGTGAAACCATTTATTGATTGCCTCCATCACACAAACCTTTCTATGGCTATCGTTACTTTCAATCTTCCATTATTCTTCTTCTAATATAATCAGTATGGATGTTATTTATTTGCTTAGCTCTTCTTGTTATTTTTTTTTTACTATTTTTTTGTTTTGAAATAAAAGAAAAATACGTGAAAACCCAGTACTCTTTTAGTTTTGTTTCAAACACAGAAACACTTAAACACGCGCAAAGCCAAAACCAGATTTTTAAGTACATGCATTACTTGATGAAAATACAGCACAACCTGAACCTCCAAATCCTTAGTACAAATAAAAAGATGAAGATTTTAGTCGAAATACCGAAAAAATAATAGTACCAAAAAATATGCACCTTTTCATCTTGAATAGCAATTCAAGCGAGAAAATATTGTTTGGTTTCTCATGTTCTGGAACGTGCTATAATCTCACAATTCGAACCTTCAAATTTCAACTCAGTTTGATACACGATATGCCGATGATATAGTTAACGTTTGTAGTTTTTTTTTTGCCTTAGAGTAAGTTTGATAAAAGGTTTGTTTGCGATGAACTATATGTAAGGTGCAGCCAGAATATATATATATATATATATATATATATATATATATATATATATATATATACACAACATACACGTGCTTTAGTGCGTAAACTTTCTGGAAACGAAATTTCCATAAAAAGAGCCGAAAAATGCGTGTTCTATTTTCTCTATACAAGTGTAGTATGAGTACGTAAATCAACGTGTACCCAGTAAGTATCCAATCTAACCTCGAAGAAGTAGTAACGAGGAGTCGACTCCGATACTTACTATGGGCTATAAATAATATACCGATGATATAACTAAGCATGGATTACATAGAACAACTGTAAGCTCAATATCATGAAGTAAGTACACAATTCTTTTGTTAATAAGAAATTTCCAAATTTATTTTTCATCATTTATCATTTTGTATCTCAGGCCAATGAAGCAATATCAATTATTATAAATTTCAAAGCAACCAATTCAATCATGCACAAATCATGCAAAGGTTGTACTGTCCACCAACATAAATATTTAAAATGTTCACTCCCGACGGGTCGGAACAGCACGAACCACTAGATGCATCTATCTGTTACCGAGACGTTCGACCTACTCCACAAAAGAGAAAAATCCATTTCAAACTACCAATTTAAGATTTATTAAGGAACAATTATTCAAAAAAAATGCCAATTCTCATTAACGATCAAGAAAATAAAGTTAACTTTTTTTTCAATTCCTTTACCAAGTTTCAATACGTTTTAAATAATTAAATTAAAAAGTAGGTTCCAAACATTGCAAGTATAACATGATTTGGTCCTAGACTACCCGAACATTTAGCATTATAGTAGCTACGCATGGACTCTCGCTACCTATGAGGTTAATTCTCTCTTACAAGGTTAGAAAGGAGACTTACCTCGCTCCGAAATTCCATAACCAGCTCCCAAGCCCTTCCAACAACTCAAACCATTTGAGTTAGTTGGATTATATGTAAATAATCTTAAAGATTAACCATTTCTCAAATTTCCTAGATATAATACTATTTTTCTTTTTTGATATCATTCTCGCCGGTTTCATTGGATCTTAAAATTAGTCGGGAAGCAAAATAATAACTCATATGTATGACAAAACAATCAAAGGTTGAGACTATGAAGAACTTTTTGGATACGACTTGACTCTTTTACTGCTACTTGAACTCTTGTTTTATGTGTTGATATCTTTCAAAAAATATTTCTATTTTAAAATTTCAGTTTCTAAAACTTTATTTTTCAATAATAATTATTTTTATAATAACATAAGTGAAAATATTATCCTTAAAAAAACTCATTTTAGTCGGCTATCTAAACATTTAAAAAATTCTTTAGCCAGTAATTTTTTTTCCCAGTATGACTCCATTTTGATATTTGACATTAACCATGTTAAATATCCGAGTTATTTGAATGATATGTAAATAACCTTAAAATTTAAACCTTCTAGATAATCGTTAGATATCAATTAAGAAACAGTACATGAAAAAAGATTAACATTTTCTCAAATCTCGTAGTGGTAATTTTATTTTTGCACCATTCTCACTGGTGTCATTGGAACCTAAAAATAGCTAAAAAGTGAAATAACAAATCGTATTTATGTCAAAGCACAAAGGTTGACACNATATATATATATATATATATATATATATATATTAATATTTATTATCTTTATAATGCTGCAATTGAAGATATTATCCTTAATTTAAAATTCACTTTAATCGGCAATCTAAAAATTAAAATGATTCTTTAGCTGGTGAAATTTTATTTCAATATGACGTCATTTTTTTTTTGTAACTAACCTTTTGTATTAATCACCTTTGAACTTTACAAAGCCATAGCTAACTAGGACACAATTAGCTATCTCAAATGAAATAAATTCTATCTATCTTTCATCACTATTACTATATACAAGGAGATCTCATCTAACAAAACTCTTAACATCTAAAATGTAAAACTTTGCAGAAGCTCTTTAACTCTACTGTCAGCTCTAACATGACAAGTATAGATAATTTCCCTTACAATTGCTTCCCAACTTCTAGTCTTCTTTTCAAACACTCTATTGTTCCTTTCTATCCATATAGCATAGACACACTCTGCATATACCAATTTGAATATTTGAGCTTGTTGTGATTTCCCTTTAGCACTTCTGATAGCCCAGTTAACATGCTGGTTCCATTCATCTGGTGTTTGTTGCCATTGTAACCATTTCTGCAGTCTCCTCCATATAGCTTTTGCATAATCACATTCCACAAACAAATGCTCTCTAGTTTCCAGTTCTGCTTGACATAATGAGCAAGTAATGTCTACTGTTATGCCCCATCTCATTAGTCTATCTGTTGTTGCAATCTCCCCTGTAATACTAACCATATTATAAAGCTTGCTTTTGGCCTCGCATCATTCTTGAACATAAGACATTTCCAGGCTACTGGCCTCATTTCAGGGAGCAGTTTGTAGTAGATAGTATTTGTCAAACTCCTTGTGGTATTGCTTACAGGTATCAAATGCAGTTTATTCTTCAATTCCTATATCTTTCTAGTAATCCAACTTGCTTGTGCTGGAACTATTATTTCCAGCAGTGGCTTTCTTTTGATGTAATAAGTGTGAATCCATCTAATCCACATCTTGTCTTGCTTATGAGCAATATCCCAGCATGTCTTGATTTGAGCAGCTTGGTTCCATAGCTTTATGTTGATGAGACCTATTCTACCCATAGACTTAGGCATACATACTCTATCCCATGCTATCAAAGCTTTCTTAGTAATTGAATTACTACCTGACCACACATAGCTTCTGCAATAGCCATCTATAGTCTTCAATACCTTAGAAGGAATAGGGAATAGATGAGCCCAATATGCTTGCATACCAAACAGAACTGACTTCACTTATTGTGTTCTCCCTGCATATGATAGTTTCTTTGTTGTCCAAGAAGTGATTCTGGCTGTTATTTTTTCTATCAAAGGCTGCCACTGCAACAGAGAAATCTTCTTTGTTGATAAAGGCACTCCCAAGTATTTAAAAGGCAGGCTCCCATGGACAAAACCCAAGTGTTTCAGGATACTTTCCTGCTCTTCCTTCTTAACTCCTCCAAAATACACACAGCTCTTCCCAAGATTTGCTTGTAGTCCTGAGGTTGTAGAGAAGATTCTGAAACATTCATAAAGTGGAGTGATAGAGGGCAGATTTCCTTTGGCAAACAAAAGTAGATCATCTGCAAAACTTAAGTGTGTTATACCTAGTTTTGCACATTTTGGATGAAATTGATATCTCTTATCATTTTTCAACTCATTGAGCAGTCTACTCAAGTACTCCATAGCTATTGCAAATAGGAAGGGAGATATTGGATCTCCTTGTCTAAGTCCCCTAGCTGCATTAAATGTTTTACTTTGTTCTCCATTGATCACCACAGTATAGTTCACAGTCTGAACACATTCCATTATCCACAGCACAAATTGGTTAGGAAAACCAAGCTCAGTTAGCATCTGTCTCACAAAGGGCCATTCAACAGAATCATATGCTTTTTGTAGATCAATTTTTATCATGCACCTGGCTGATAAATTCTTCCTTGTATAGTCTTTTACTAACTCATGGGCAAGAAAGATGTTATCAGCTATTTTCCTCCCTGGAATAAAACCAGCCTGGGCTTCACTTATAATGTCTGGCATCACTTCTTGCATTCTGGAGGCAAGAATTTTGGCAATCATTTTATACAACACAGTATAACATGCAATAGGCCTATACTCCTTCACAGTGTTTGGCTTGGCAGTTTTTGGGACTAGTGTGATAGCAGTACAGTTGATTGCCCTATATAATTTCCCAGTTTTGAAAAAACCTTTGACAGCATCAATAACTTCTTTCTTCACAAGAGGCCATACTTTTTTGAAAAAATAAGCATTATACCCATCAACTCCAGGAGATTTATCATTTCCTATTAAGGACAGCCCATCATATATCTCCTTTTCAGTAACTTCTGCACATAATCTAATCCTTTGCTGCTGAGTAATGACTGGCCCTTTTCTCATTGTTTGTTTGTTAACTGCTGGCAGTATATGAGCTGCTGAACCCATCAAGATCTTGTAAAACTTGATTATCTCTTCTCTGATTTTCTCTGGATCCTCAAGTTTCCTGTTATCAAGAGATGTTAGTTCAGTAATTTGTTTCTTGTGTGTCATCTCTTTGATCAAAGCTGAAAAATACTTATTGTTTGAGTCTCCAAGCTTGATCCAATTAGCTTTAGCTTTTTGTTGTAAGGCACTCTCTTCTACCAATGACCATTTCTCCAGCTCCTGTAACAGCTTTCTTTCTTCTGTGAGTAAATCTGTGTTAATCCTTAACTGAATTTGTTCCTGAGTGCTCTTTAAGTCCTGTCTTGCCTTCTTTATTTTCTGCCTGATAAACTTGAACTCCTCATTATTTAACTTCCTTAGGACTGGTCTAAGATTCTTCAGCTTCTTCCAAATATTTTCCATGTTGCTTGTGGAACATGTGTTCTGCCACATGTCTTCTACAATCTTCATGAAGTCTTTGTGCTCAGCCCATACATTGAAGAACTTGAAAGATACTTTAGTGTTATATCTAGCTGGTGCCATTGTTAGTAACATAGGTGCATGATCAGAAATGTAGGGATCATCATACTGCATTATCACATGTCCCCAATTCATCATCCATTCATGATTTCCAAAAGCCCTGTCCAATCTACTATATATTCTATCTGTACTCAGCTGTTTATTGGACCATGTGTAATAGTCCCCACTCCACTGAACTTCTGTTAATAACAGTTCATGTATGCACTCCGAATACTCTTGGATTTCCTTATAAGTGATAGGGTTGCCAACAGTCTATCATCTTGGTGCAACACTGCATTGAAATCTCCAGCAACAAGCCATGGTTTGTTTATGCCTACAGCCACTTCTTTCAGATGTTCCCACAGTGATCTCCTGTGTTCTATGGTATTGACGCCATATACAATAGTAAGAAAGCAATTGATGTCTCCTATCTTGCTTATGACTTCACAATGTAGAATTTGTGCTTCAGCTCTCACCATGTTCACTTCACACCATTGTGAATCCCAAACCAACCATATTCTTCCATTAACAGCAGCCTGGTAATTGTCATATACCTTCCATGCTGGATCAAGTTTTCCCCTGATCTTCTTAGAGTTGTGTTCTTTAACTCTTGTTTCTATGAGCCTAGCTAATCTTATTTTTTTTGTTTTTAAGTAATTTCTCAGTTCCTTTTGCTTATACCTCTTATTTATTCCCTAACATTCCATATTAGCCAATTCATCATGCAGTTTTAGGTCCCCCTCCTCTATCTAGAGGCAGGTCTTACTCTTCACTATATCCTCCATTTAGCACTCCAAAACCATTTTTGGTAGGAACAGAACACAATATGGGGAAGTTTTGGAGATTGAATTCAAGACTTTTAACAGCTTTCCCTTTGTTCTTTTCTGACTGCTCTTCTATTCTATTTCCAGGAGTGACACTCATCTTCTCATTCACTTGCTGTATCTGTTGTTTATTTTCCTTTGTTTGCTCCATTTGTTTCTCCACTGGTAGTATATGCTGTATAGGGCCTTTGTATCTCCATTCCTGTGTGACTGTTTTGTTCCTCTTCCTTCTAGGTTGAATATCCCTTTTGCCTTCATCCACTTCCTTTTCCCTACATTTGTGTCCCACTACTTGACATGTTCCACAAAATTCTGGCCTCCAATCATATGTCACCTGCTGCTGGAAGTATTTTCCTTTTGGATCAATCACTGTGATTTCATCAGGTAGTGGTTGACTAACATTTATTTCCACAAGCATTCTAGCATAAGAAATCCTTGATTGTTTTGTAGTGCATTCATCAGCAAACACAGGAGTCCCCAATACACCGGCAATTCTACTCAGGAACTTACTACACCAGCAATTCATAGGTAAATTAGGGAATTTCACCCACAATGGTATCTCAATAGGGAATTCTCTGCTGAAATCAAAATATGCTGTCCATGGCTTCAAAATTATAGGTCGATTGCTGATAGTATATGGCCCATTATAGTATACAACATGCATGTCAGTTATGGAATTAAATCGAATCACATAGTATCCCTCATCATGGAAATATACTTCTGGAGTATCTATATTTATCCAATTTTGGCTAATATACTTGTTCATAACATTATACCCAGGTGTTTCTCCAATGACATATGCAATTAAAGCACATTTCCACTTTTCTTCTTCTGGTTCTACTTCCTCTACTTCCAATTGTGCCACCATTTGCCAATCTACGATTTGTGGTGGAATATATGTTAGTGCCAAACCATTAGTTGCAGATCTGTTGCCGTTGAACAAGTTTGTCCATGTTCCTGCCGGATTAACTACTTCAGCTGCTCGATCCACTGGCTTTTGCGTTAAATTCACTGTTTCATTGGTCTTCTTCTCAGTCACTGTTCCATTGCTTTGAGATGTCCTTATTTCCTTCTGCATTATGCCCTTTGTATTTTCATCCATAGTGTCCATCGTCTCTAGATCCTTTGGTATCTCCTTAGTATTTGAAGTAGATCCTTGTTCAACAGATCTAATTCCTTCAGCTAGCTGCACAGGAGATGCCATTGGCGTATTTTCTGGTGTTACTTCTCCTTGAATCCGAGCTCCAACTGAGCTCCCAAAAGCTACAATAGGTATTTTCCTAGGTCGTCCGCGTCCCCTTCCTCGTCCCGACCTCTCGCCCCTGCCATAACTCCACCGGCGTATGTTTAGCTAACATGCGCCGAGAGCACGAGTGAAGGTAGAGAGAGTGACTAATTGATTCATTTATATGACGTCATTTTGAGTTTATCGATATCTCTAGCCACAGATTTTGAATTTGGAATAACATATATACACGGGTGGATCTAGAATTTTTACTTTATGGATTCTTAGCATTGAACTCATCATATTTTTAGAGTCATGGGTTCATATATACTATTTTTATAATTTTAAGGATTTTTACATATAAATTTTTGCTGGGCGTGAAAAGTTATGGGTTCAATTGAACCTGTCATCAACACTCTAAATCTGCCTCTGCCTATATATATATACACACACACACACACACACACAAATATTTTGTTCTTTGAATCATTAAATGTTAAATTAGTTGACTGTTATTATATAATATTGCATATATTGTCTTAAAATTGCCAAGTTGTTTTTTCTCGACACCATACTTGGTTTAACCTCAATGCAAACTACTCAAATCGCATTTATATTCAAATTTAGATATCATATTAGTTTGTTAGTAATGATTTTTTAAAAATGCCACACAATGTAAATTTAAAAAAAATTCTAAGATATCCTTATCTTATAATCTATGTATTTGAGTTGAAAAAAATATTTAAAATCAATGATATCAACTTCCAAATTGTTTATACTTAACATAGATGAAACAGAAGAAGAAATTCGTTGTCATCTCTTATTTTTGGTTTTTAGATTTTTCATACATTTTTTCTATATTTATGTTCTTTTATATTATTTTTATGTCTTTTTTTTACAATAAATTAATTTATTTCGCTATAAAAGGATGAGTTTATTTATATTTTTAGTCTTTAGTTGAAATTCTTCCTTCTTTTTTTTTTTGGCTTTATCTAATCAACCTAAATAAGTGCTCGCCTTACCACTTAAGTTAAAAAATTAAAGAATGTGTAATTTATATATAATCCATATATAATATGTGTATAATCGTGTGTTGCCAGTATATTATCTATGGATATTAGCTATAAAAAGTGAATAATAAATCTGGCCGGATATTTATGTAAATATTCCATAAGATTTCGGTTTCTTGATTTTATCCATGGTATGACTTCTATTATAATAATTTAAAAACTCTACTAAAATTCAAAAATATCTTATCTTTTTGTTTTTAAAATTACATTATATTTTTAAAAATAATCCCATTTTGAAATAATTTGTTTAACTATCAATTAGAAACCAACTACCTCTTGTTGAATTTGAAAAATAACTTTTCCCATAATCTAGTGATTCAAAGCTCATATTCTTCAATAAAAAAATATTAAATCCTTGCAATGCTGGCTTTACTGCAGCTAAATGAAGATGTTTAAGCTTATACCCTTCAATTCCTAGTAGGTGCTAAATTAAAATTAATGATAGCAATTGTATAGCCAAAGTTTTGTTATTTGTTTGATGTCCATTTATACAAATTGACTCTTCAAACAAACGTTCTTCAAAAAGGAAAAAAATAATTTTGTTGAATATTGACTGATTTTTGTGATTTTTCTTTCTCCAGCATGTAGGTAAACTTTTATATATGTAAGTAAACTTTTATTCGGGTTTTAAACTCTTTTTTGTTATCTGGATAACTATAGACGTGTACCTAATATATTACATTTACTTTAAAAGAAATTCGATTTATTCAAATCTAGCTATATTGTTTTAAAGAATTATAATTATAGGGTTCTAAATGTGAAAGAGTTTTATAGTTACATGGAATAATTTTTTTTCTTTTTTGCCACAGGCACAGTAGTACTTAAATAATCAGAAAAGATAACAAAAGTTCCAAGCATGATTGCATATGATCATTAACAAATTAAGTATGATAACTTGACCAAAAAGAAGATAAATTTCTTTTTTTATTTTAATTCAAATTTAAAAACTTTATCTATAAATTCAAATTTATTCTATATATATATATATATATATATATATATATATATATATATATATATAACATAGTCAAATATAGAATAAACTTACCATAATAAACAAGATTTGAGGAAAAAATGATGCTTGTTTCATGTGTCTACTCCCTCAAAGAACCACAAAATAGTAAATGATTTCAATAAAAGTAACTCTATCTTGAAATGTAGTAAATGATTTCAATAAAAGTACTAATCAATAACAAACAAAGCATGGTTTGCCATAAGAATAGTATATAGCTTTTACAAGTTAGTTACCAAAGGAAGTGAAAAACCAAATTTGATTAACGAGGTGCCTTCTTCTTCCCTGCAATTGCAACTTTCTTGCCCTTCAAAGTACGGCAATTGTTCTTCGTTCGCTGTCCTCTGCAAGGCAATCCTTGGATATGCCTTACCCCTCTGTAGCACTGAATCTCCTTCAATCTCCTAATGGCAAGAGCATTGAATCTCCTCTGAAACCAACATCACGAGTATATCATTTCCCCATTTCAAATCGGAAGCATTGACCAACAACCAACTATATAATACAAGAATGACAATGGACATTGTCACTACTAAAAACACGCTATCAATTTCTTTCTGCGCACATAAACATTTCCAGAAGAACTGTTTTTCCATAAGAACTATTTTAACTTGGGGGTTAGGTGGCGGAAGCTATAGAGGCCATGATCCAACATATCCAAACTCCACTGATATACGTATTACATTTACAGAAAGGCACCAAAATGAAATCACACAATGTATGCCAAAAATTTCGCTTCCACTATTCCAACCAAAGAAGATGGGGAAAAATACACAAATATACAAGGACATGAAGCTTCCACAATTTGAAACAGGAAACAAATATCTGAAAATGGACAGGACAGGGGGGAAAAGGGAAGATTCCCCCCAGCCAAACAATTTTATTTCAATGACTGCCCTTCCAATAGTATCTTTTACAAAACAAAATATGTATAACATGCATAAGGAAACCAATATTGTAGGTCCGCAAGAAAACCTTTTCGAACAGAACCTTTACGAAGGTAGCTGCTACTACTGTAACATCTCTACTAATTAGAAACCGAGCCTTAAAGTTTGCCTTAAGAAAAAGATCATGTACATAAGATTTCTTTGGTTTTTCGTGTTTTAGCATTTATTCTTCCATTAACTACAGGGAGGCATTACTAAATGAACTAAAGTTTAAAACATGTGAGCCATTGAAGCAAACAATTATTGGACAATAAGAAAGCAAGTTACTAGATATCCATTCTTTACTAATTATGTGGCCATTTTTTTGTACTAATTGGCGTCTTAACAGAAAATCATAAAGTCCCGTTATTTGGTTGAGGCTATGGAGAACGAAGATTGAATTGAGTCATCCTCTAAGTGAGTTTGCGCAAAGTTAGAAATTAGCTAATTCCCAGCAACTGCTCCTTTATATATTTTTAGGGGATTAGTGGACACTTCTCTACAAAATGTTAGTTTGAGTTAAAATATGGTTGTCAGTTCCAATAAACAACACGACATTTTAAAATTTGGGCGAAAAAAATGAAAACCCCCTTGAAGTAAAGTTCTGACTCCATGAAAAGGTTTGCCAAACTTTAAGGCACAAAGTATTGAGAAACCGCAGTCAAAACCAAAACGCGTACTCCAATTAAAAGTACGATGGCTACAATACTTGGTCTGATGAAAATAATTTTAAGATATCGTTTTCAGCTTCAGTATGCTACTTCACATATAAAAATCGGATTAAAGGATTGGTTCAAGATACCCCTCTAGTGAAACATTCTTGTGGCTCAATTAAATTGTATTACCTAAAAACCAAATGGCACAATGAAACAAGCGACACTACAAAGTATCAAGAACCTCAACCACACCAAGGTAACATGAAATAGAGAAACCAAATCGAATTACCTAAGCATATAAGTTTCATTTAGCTTAATCACATTGCCATGAAAACAAACAAACAATTTAAAATAAGAGCAAGGAAACTCACAAGGTCGCCTTCGATCATGTATTTGGAGACTTCATCACGGAGAGTGATAAGCTCCTCTTCAGAAAAGTCCTTCATAATCTTGTTCTCAATTTGAAGGTCTACCAGAATCTGGCGTGCACTGGTGCGGCCAATCCCATGAATGTATTGCAAGGCAAACTCTACTCTTTTGTTGTTTGGTATCTCCACTCCTCCCACACGCACACACTTTATACTCAAACCTCCAATCTACACACAAACATCATTTCACTTCCAACTCAAAAAAAAGAAGTTATAAAACAATTCAATTCCAATAAAAAAAAACTGAAAAAATGGAAAATTCAGCAAAAACCCAATTGAATTCCAACTCAAAAAACTAAAATAATGGAAAAGTCAGCAAACCCAAATCAATTCCAACACAAAATGGTCTCAGAAATGGAAAATTTAGCAAACCCAGTTCAATTCAAGCTCAAGAAGTTCAAAAAATGGTAACTTCGGCAGAAACCCATGTTTGGTTTACTGAGAAATTTCAAGAAAAGAAAAGGGAATGAAGTTCACGTAAGTAAGTGATGAAGGGTGGTGAAATAAAGAAAACCCATTTCAATTATAACTCCAAAAAGGTAAAACAGTGCAAACTTTAGCAAAAACCCATGTTTGGTTACTGGAAAAAAATTCAAGAAAAGAAAAGGGAGTGAAATCTACCTTGGGAAAAGATGTGGGAGTTGAGAAAGAGAGAGAATTGTACTTGGAGATGGCAGAGGTGTTGCAGATAAGGGAGAGCGAAGGTAGTACAGGAGTTGCGAGTGCTTGTGCCATTCTTGAAATTTTGATGAAGAAACAAAAGGAGAAGATAGAGCGTTTTCTCTTATCCTTTGGGGAGACAGGATAGCTGGATAGGAATGGAGTTGTTCGCTATGGTTTTCTAATATGGAGCCCCGGTTTGGAAGTATACTTTTTTTTTTCAAGAAGAAATTGGGACAAATTTAACTTTTAATGACTAAAATGTCGTAATTACAAATTTACTTTTTTCCATAATTGGGAAAAATATATTCTTAACGTTTGAAATTTATCATATATGCTATATGTTCATCTTTGAGAAAAAATAAAAAATAATTAGATTTACAACTGATAATTGAAAAATAATTATAGTTTCAAAAATAATTGAATTTATCCACTTTTTTCATATAAAGATAAAATATGACAAAAACACCCTTAAAAATTAGAAAATATTCCAGCATAATTGCTAGGGTTCCAACATAATATGCTGGAATTTTATAATGTATACGCAAGATTTTTCACAAGCGGTGTCACTATTTTTAGCAATAGGCCTGTAACAGGCAAACAAAAATTTGTGGAGCCAAAGGAGTTTGAACCCAAGACCTCTCACTTCAAACTTAAAACTATCAACCACTAGACTATTGAGCTATTTTGATGCAAGTGGTGTCACTTTTAATGATTTTATCTTGAATTTCTGTTTTATTTATTATTTTTATATACATTTGTAGTATAATTTTTCGACGAAGCGGTGTCCCGTGACACCGCTCGGGTCCATATAAATCTGCCCCTGGTTACAACATAATATGCGGGAAATTTATATGCAGGAGCTCCATAATCTCACATATTATGCTGGAACTTTCTGTGTGCTGGAGTTCCAACATAATATGCTGGAAGTTTATAAGCAAGAGCTCCATAATCTCACATATTATGCTGGAATTTACTGTGTTTCAGCAAAATAATGACTTTTTTTTTAATAAATTTACAAACAGTGGCTATTTTTCGATTACCAGTCTGAAAACTGGCTAACATGTGCTATTCTCACTTCATCTTTCCGTGCATAAAAGACTTTCATCGTTAATCTTTCATCTTACACTGATGATTTCTACCGTGAAGAAGAAGAAGAAGAAAAATAATTTCCACCGTATAAAAGTCGGTTTGATTTGGTTAATACGGTGGAAGGTGAGTATACATTTGGATTTTTCAATTATTCGGAAACATATTTTAAAAAATTTAATTGTGCACGAGCATGCTTTAAATTTTGATTGAATCAAGTAACATGAAATAAGAGTTTTGGTATTTGTAAAGGAAATTAACTTCTGCTAACAAGTGATAGAAATCAATTTCTCACTTTTTGGAGTAAATATTTTTCGAGCTAACTACTAAAGGTACATTAATATCATTAAAAAGAGCTTTTAGGAAAAAAAAAAAAAATCTACCGCGCAAAACACAACCAAAACTTGAAATCCCGTGGTTTAATGTTGAGGTCAATGGTCGATATAATAATCTGAAATTGAGAAATTTTTACCAACTGTTTTTTTTTGTATCAGTTACTTAGTAGATGGCTTTCTTTTAATTTTACTTGTAACTTATGGATCTTTTAGGACACGGTTTTTTTTTCTTTTTCTTTTTTAACAAACTGAAAATCTTATAAGAAAACGCTAGATCACAATCTAAAATTTGAAAGTTATTACAAATATTAGATCACAATCTAAAATTTGAAAGTTATTACAAATATTAGATCACAATCTAATATTTTGTCCACAATGTTGAGCAAACATTAGACTCGAGTCTAATGCTATCTAAAAAAAGTAATTTTTCAAAGGTTATATTTGCACAACTTTCTAAAATAAAAACAAAGGCCAACTACATAAACGCGCCTTAAACTTAACTTCATTTTTCATTTAGCCACCTTGACTTAAACTAGTATCTATTGAACACTCTAACTATACCTTATAAGTGACTATTAAACAAAAAACTGGTAGTACCAAATTAACAGAACTGCGTGAGCTCACTCTCTTGTCACATGGTAAATCAAACCTATAAAAGAAATACACATCAGCAAAGTCAGAAAAAGAAAAATGGACACCATTATTGCCGGTAAAACAGTTTCTAGTGAAAATATTTATAGTGTAAAATGTTGTAATATGTAAACTAATTTTTACCTGTGAATTACATCCTAATGGGACTTCAAACAATTCTTGTGACTTGTGAGCATTAGATCAAATTAAGATACTGATTTTCTTGATAAATTTCTCAAAAAAAAAAAAACACTTTCCAACTGCAAAATTCTACTCATTTACTGGCAATAACCTGCAACTGCTTCTTCGGCATCATTAACAACAACTTGCCACCCATTGAATTGGCCTATATATAATAAAGTTCTAACCAGCATCCACCCAAAGACACTAACTTTAGAAAATTCATCAATTGCAGCCATTGACGCCCCAGAAAGCAATACTACATCCGAACATTTTTATCTGGCATTTAAAGTTGTTAGGCTAAACTAGCCCAAAGATACTCTTAACATGGTGTGATATTGTCCGCTTTGGACCAAACCTGCACGATTTTCCCCAAAAGGCCTCACACCATTAAGAGATCCCTACACCTTATATGTAGACTCCCAATCTTTTTAGCTACCAATGTGCGACTTTGTGCCCATTTGGATTGGCTTATTTAAGTGCTTTTAAGCCAAAATAACTTTTAAGCCTTTTTGTAGTGTTTGGATAGAGTAAAAAAAATGCTTTTAAGCACTTATTTTTAAGTTAAAATGACAAAAACAAGCCAAAAGCCAAAAGTTAGAATTCCTAACTTATGGCTTAAAAGCCACTTAAATTAAGCCCATCCAAACTTGCTCTTTGTTCGCACACCCAACAAAAGTTTTGGCACATTTTAAGAGATAATTGACAAAATTTCTTTAAATGAAAAATTAATGACTATACGTCTTCTTAAAGCAGCAAGGTGGCCAATTGATAAAAAAAAAAAAAAGAGGCCAATAACAAATAATGTGGAACAAACTTAGTTAGCTAAAAGAGATACTAGTAGTCGTAGATAAGGACCGGAAGTAGTATAACCTAACAAAGCAGAAGGAAAAAAAATCAACCGTTGAACCATGTATTGTATTTATTTCTTCATGTATAGTACAAACAAGAATCAAAGTGATTTTTTTTAAATTAGTAGTACAAATATATCGTCATCTTCAATATACTGAGATCATGTTTAATGCATTCACCAACTACGTCTTACAACTTCACCGTAAATGCATTTAACATTCAACTGCATTCATATATTTGTAATTAACCAAGGAGTAATACAGGTAGCAGAAGTGCAGAAGGTAGTTAGATTTAAATGAAAAAAAGACAATATTCACCGACAGATCACTCACTATATATGTAACTGATTCTGAAACTACTTTTGCTCCATCCTATTAATCAATACTCAATAGTCTCTCTCAATTATTTATTTACAAAGTTCTTATATTCTGCTTTTGTTGTTGAAAAATGGCATCCAAAGGAAAGATTGATGTTGAAGTTGAGGTGAAAACTCCAGCAGACAAATTCTGGAATAGCATTAGGGACTCAACGAATCTCTTCCCTAAGGCTTTTCCTGATCAATACAAGAGCATTGAAGTTGTTGAAGGTGATGGCAAGTCTGTTGGTTCAGTTCGTTTGATCAAGTATGGTGAAGGTAAACAGTAACAAGCTACTTCATGGATTATATATCTTGGTGTAATTTAATCTATTGCCGTAGATAAGCTGTCTTATTTTCTAGGTCACTAATTTCACTTTTATGAACTGTTATCTGTCTTATTCCTGGTTCTTTATTATTACATGTGTGTCAGTCGCTTCCGTTACCCTATTACCTTGTAGTTGCTATTTTTTGTCGCTTTATTTTCACGAGCTGAGAATCTATCGGAAATAGTCTCTCTACCTTCACAAGGTAGGGGTAAGATCTGGGTACTCATTACCCTCATCGCACCCCACTCGTGGAATTGCACTGAGTTTGTTGTTGTTGAGCTGTTATCTATGAAGATTAAACTGATCGATATGAGACGTTAACACTGTGCTTTTGTCTGCTACAGGATCGCCATTGGTTACGTTCGCAAAAGAGAAAATTGAGTCAGTTGATGAGGGAAATAAGACAGTGGTGTACTCAGTTATTGATGGGGAAACCATGAAATACTACAAGAGTTTTAAGGGCAGCCTCACTGTATCTTCAAAGGGAGATGGAAGTTTGGTGAAGTGGTGCTGTGAATTTGAAAAGGCAAGTGATGAAGTTCCTGAGCCTCAACTCATCAAAGATTTTGCTGTCAAAAATTTCAAGGACCTTGATGCTTATCTCATTGGGGCATAAAGATCTACTGTGAGAGAAATTATCGCATAGTTTACTGAATAAAACCTAAAATAAAATCTTATCTAGCAGAAAATATAAGTAGACTTGACTTTTCAAGTAATGTAAGTGTCAAGAATGGAAATAAATTAACGTCAGCTATATGGAAATGTGATGCTAGTTATGGCATTCTATGTTTTTATTTGCCTGGAATTTGGTTTCAAAATGACATTTCTCATGCTAATTAATAAATGATGAGTTGTCTGAGGAGATGAATTGAGAGCTACGCTCACTTCACTGAACATTCAGCAATATTGAGTACTAAATTATGTTGACCAAAATGTAGTAATATTCAGCCAGAAAGAGGGTAGTCTTTAGTTAGAAACATGGGAAAGCAAAAGAGCGCTTTGCTTTTTCTTATCTTATTCTCGCCCCGATAGATCCACACATTGACTACGAATAATGATATAAGACCTTATATACTACTCACTCTCCATAAGGATATACTACTCACTCTCCAGTGAGTGAGTGCAGTGAAGGACTACTTGTTTGACTTATGGCATCGCTGATATGCTTTCCAATGAAAGCGATTTCATATATAATCAAACATTTCTCTACGAAAATTAATAGACACCTCTTCGCTGAAATTTACTTAATAAACATAATTACTATATGTTGAATCTCTTAGTTTTTTCATATGTGTATTTTTTATATTTTGAATATTCTTAGTAAAAATCTTGGCTCCTCTATTGTACAAGAGTAGTTGGTTACCAATACTATTTGACTCTAAGACTCTTATATTATCAGCTACGTGGATGTGATGTTGAGCTTGCACCGAATCTCAACCAATAAAAAATGAGTTTTTAGTTATAAATTACCTGTGTGGAGGGGCCAGGGGACACAAAATATCAATACAGATGCAGGTAAAAATTGATGGTGGAGGAAGGTGTTGCTCCCTAACGCACACGCAAGTATACGTGGTCGACAAGTAATATAGGATTGTAAGTCCAGATATCGTACCCACAGGGACTTGTGATTAACTATCAACTAAATTAAACCAAACAATTAATCTATTCAAGCGAATCCTAACGTATGAATATTTAACTAAAGATAATCTAGAGTAGTAAACTAAGAGATTAAAGAAAACAAGTTGGTGAATTATAGAGACGAATTCAATGTGAGTGAATATTCTAGAGCTATGGGTTGGCTAACAATCCCATTGAGTTTTCCACCTAAATCGTCTAATTAATTTATCTGGTTGATTGGTTGACAGGGTTAATATAGCTCGTAGCCTTCTCCCAAAGTACAACTCGCCTATTCAATCTAACCTAACGCCTATATTCCTATGAAATTAGGATTAACAAGAACGCATTTATAATTCCCGTATAATAACCAAGCAAAGCGATTAGGTATACTCCTATCCTAACCGCAAATCCGCTCCCCCTAAGAGTTAAGATCTTGCTCTACTCAATCTTATATGCAATCTAGAATTCCCTCTCCCGAGTTCAATCCTAGATTCGTAGATAGTATTTAATTGGTGATCTAGCAATCAAATAATTAAGCGCAAGATTGAATAAATAAACCAATATGATAAAATAATAAGAACAATTCAAGCTTCAAACTACAACGTTCATGTAGCACCCAAAACTCTAGAACTAATAAACTATAAAATTAAAGGAAGAGAAGAGAAGAAAAACTAGTTAGAAGCCTCCTCCAAACGTGGTGTGTGTTCCCCCACATGAATTCTCCTCCAAAGTATGTTAGATCCCTCTAAAGTGGCGTCCTCCTCCCAAAATTAGGCTTAGTCTTCCTTTTATACGTGTTGGATAGGTCTAGGGCCGAATAAACCATGTCCCGGGCAAAATAGGACGAAATCCACGTCAACGGCGCCCAGCCCGGCGCCAGGTGCCTACCAGGGCGCTGCCCAAATTGCACACATTGTTTTCAGCGCCACAGGTGGCGCCAGGCGCTGCCTGTGGCGCCCAAATGGCATTTTTCCCGATTTTGTTCGTTTTAGCTCAAATCTTGCGCGTTTCGCCCCCAATTGCTCCCGAATTATTCCTACAAGTAAAAACACTTCAAATAATATAAATCATAGCATTTAACATCCCAAATTCACGAAACAAAAGTAAAATATGAGGCAATATACATAGAAATATGTATACTTTAAGCTAAACATAAACACCCCACACTTAGACTCTTGCTCGTCCTCGAGCAATGGGACAATCTAATAAACCCCCAACTACGTACAAAGTTCAATCATAAAGGAGCACCTTAACTTTTAACCACACACTATACCCTTGACTACGATCAATACCGGCACACAAGCATGAACACACAAAAATTCACATTCTTCCCGTTTAAGCATACCCAAGTATAATATTTCAATTCAATAAATTCCAACAACCTATTCGTCACCACCCAACCTCAAAAATCGACTTGCAACCACTAAGCACCCTCAATTCATGCACTTACCCAACAAGAAAGTTTACAACATTATCAATCATTCATGAGATCATGTGCCCTCACCAACAAACAAAAGAGTGAATATAAATTGGTCCACACATTCAAATATGCTTTTGAATATAGATTAAGGACATCACACAATTGAACAAAATTCGCTAACTCTCACAAAGAATTCATATGCATCCCGTGGTCGTACCATAAGCTTGCCCGTAGTGTATATCTCTACTAATTTAAGCTAGCCAAGTCTAGGATCAATTATGACTTTTAAGGTTGTAATGTAGGCTAATGGACGGGTAGGATATATTTAGGAATAATGACTAACCCTCCTAAGCACTTTATTACACTACACTCATAACTCAGACACATATTCTTTTTAACCAATTCACTTGCCACAAACCATATGCACATAGCCCTTACGTTCATTCAAGCACTTCTATACTCCCACTAGCACAAATTATTAAGAATTGGAGGTGTTTTCTACATACTTTTACTATCATTTTTTTCTTTTCTTTCAACTTTTCTTTTCCTTTCTCTTTTTTTTTTTTCACACACTCCTTACATTAAGGTTCATTGGCTAGTGTCTTTTGATTTCAATTTTAGTGCACCAACGGGCCCTTCCATGGTTCCACTCAAAAGCTACTCCCCAATCTCTAACCTTACTTCTTTTAGCGACTAAGTACCTTATGAGGTAAAAGTTCAATCAATATCAAATTAAGAACAAAATAGGGGTATGGCTTGTAATGTGGGTGCCAAAAGAAAGGTCTATAGGCTCAAAGGGCTAGTAACGGAAAATTTTATTTTTATGTGACAAGCATATCTATGATCAAGCAAGAAAATGCCTACGTCATCTCCTAGATTAGCACAACTTACAATTTGGCTTCAATTAACACACGGGACAAGTTCTAGACAACACAGGATAGCACAGAAAATCACAAATCCTCACACACACGTTGCACATGACTCAATCAAGACGGTTCTGTTGAACTCCCAACTCAAGCAAGCACACATAATTGAGAAATTTAAGCAATAATGCACTATGTGGCATACGAGTCAAACAACTGAGAAAAGGCGTCACAAAATAGGCTATTTACTTCACTTAGGCTTCACAATTCAAACCAAATACACGGTATGTCATAGCCTAATGTGCCAGCATCAACCATGTCAATGAGTATCTCAGAGCGACTCAGTTCCTTCCTAAACTACTCCTAAAGAAAATAAATCAAGTACCCGGTTCGAGCTACATCCTTGGAAAAGAACCGGTGCCCAAAGAAAAACCAAGGAATACTACCTAACTATTCTAAAAAAAATTCTGTTTGGTATTTTTTTAATCGGACTTTATCCCTCAAGAAAATTGTCCAAAAGATCCATCATCCGGAAAAGTCTGAACTTTGTCTAATTTTTTTTTTTCAATTTTCGTTTTTTTTAATTTTTAAACCTAGACTATGTCTACTACGAGTTCTAAAAGAAAAACTAAATTAAAAAAAATTAGTTTTATACAATTACACTTCAGAAAGTAGTTCCCCCACCCCACACTTATATTATGCATAATCCTCGATGCATGATTACAGAGAAAAATATTAAAACAAGGGTGAGAAATACTCCCTGAGGCCCTCTCGGGCCTAGCTCGGACATGATCCTCAATATTAAGGGTCGGGACGACCCCACACTTAAGCTCAAACATGCTCCTCAGCTTCAACTTCGGGTACTCAGACTTCCCCTACTCTGCAAAACAAAAACAACACGAAACTTGACACTATATAAAAAAAAATTAAAAAATTAAAATACAGGTTGGGTTGCCTCCCAACAAGCGCTTGATTTAACGTCGCGGCACGACGCTATCACTTTCACTACTTTTCCTTCCACTTTGAAGATATGAATTGCGGCCCCAATTTTGCATCAATTTTTCTGTCACGTTCCTAGGGCGGCGGTGTAAAAATAAAGAACCCAAGTAGTAGGTATCGCATATTGCACTTCTTGGCCTTTAAGTGAGGAATGTCGTTTTGCCTCCTTTTTATGGCAAATTTCAGAATATAAACACTTTATTCTTCATCCATTGACTCCTCCATATGCTTGACCGGATCAATTCCCATGTCACCAACCAAATACAATGTTGAAAAGTGTTTAGAATGAGGTCCAATACGCTCTAACTCCAAAATTGCATTATTTTTGACATCCTCAATTTTGCACTCTTCGTCAACCTTGGCATCATTAATAATATTTTGGTCGAATAGTTGGAATTCCTCTTTCTGCTTCACAAGCTGGCCAGTATCCACAAAAATTGTTTGTAGGGCATCAGACGCCTCAACCTTAGCATCATCCACAAGAACATGGTCTGATAATTGGTATTCTCGTCTTAGCTCCTCAATTTGGCCTAGAAGATCTTTTTCAACTTCACACAGCTCATCACTATTTGCACTCAATTTTGCATCCATGTCGCGAATAGAGCTGCCAAATTGGTCGATTTCTTGGCTAAGATCAGTTCTTCCTTCTATCAGTTGTTCTGTCATATTTGAAAGACCATCACGGAGAAACTCATGAGATTTTATTAGTTGAGCTTGTTCCTCTAGCCAAGATTGGCTCACTATATCTGTTTCTTCTAAATTATCTTCTGGTGGGAACTCGCTCTCTTCATCGAATTGAGGTTCTTCTTGGAAATTGACCATTAACTCGTCCATTCTAGACTGGAGTCTTTTGATCGTTAAAGCATCAAGACTTTGTTGCTCGACTATTTGCCTCATCATGTCCATAATACGAGCCATGCTTTCTATATCATCAACTTCATTGATCCTATAAAACTCATA